TCAAAGAAATCCATTTAAGAGTTCTTAAGTATCAAGTGCCACAATTACCAGTATCTGGAACCATATCATTATATGATAATTCCATAAATATAAATTATGATAATCTACCCTACAAAGCTCTTATTTACCAACCAAAGAGAAAGCTTGCTATTTGTGCCTATATTTCAAATTACAATACAATTAATGAGATCAAATCATTCTTAGCATACTATATACTACAAAAAGTCGATAATGTCATTTTGTATTGTACAGTAAATTGTGATATTTTCAAAAATGCATTAAAAAAAGAGATTGAAAGTGGATATGTCATTCTTTATGAATATCCTTGGCCATTAACAATGAAATATGGAGCATATCAGCGATCGATTCAAGGTAGCCATATAAATAGTTGTTATTACAGGCATCGTAACTATTTCGAATACATCATTTCGCAGGATGTGGATGAATACTTTTATAGTGAGCAATACCCCTATGATTTGTATACAGCCATTCGTATGGTTTATGAACTAAACCCAAATAAAAGATCCTTAGCTGTAATGATTAATTTCGTTTATTATGTAGACACAATCCTTTTTGTATCTGGGAAATGCCACTAGGGAAAACTCACTGAGAAATGGTACACTGTTTGATGATTATATTATACGCATGGATAATTCAAAATCAGGAAGGCGAAAACAAGTCATTGATACAAGAGCAGAAGGTTATTTTTATGTGCATGATTGTCACAACTGCAGGTTTGGAAACAATGTGCCAATTCATTTATTGCGAGTAGCACATTTTAAAAAGAATATCAGATACAACCAGTCCACAGAAATAACTCACACATTGACAAAATATACTGAAGACATGAGAAGAATTGTGGCTATATTGCATTCATAGCTTGAAGGTAAGAATAGAGATTTCAGGAATTGCTATGTCATTTATTTTCATCTATCATCCTCATAATGCAGTAGTTTCATTTTCTCATATGAAAGAACTATATATTTTGTTACAATACAACAATAAACCACAAATATAGAATGAAATAAGAAATAGAATTTTTCTTTTGCATTTGAAAGTGAATCAGAATATCCTCATATGTTTCACAAACTATGAATTGAATGATCTACGGTAGTGTGAGGAGTACGCCATAAGACACTCAATTATTAATTTATTGAATTACTATAATGATGTATCCGTATTTAGTAAATTTCCTGTTATAACTGTTTGTAGTTTTTATAACAATTGATAGCTGCCCAGTAATCTGGTAGTATGACAATAGTATTTATAATTATTTGTGTTTGATTGTTATCTAACAACTGAAAGCTATTTTCCTTCATTATTTTAACTATATAGTAATACGACTATTATGTATAATAAGGCATATAAACAATGAAGAGCATGTTAACTAAAGTCGTCTAGCTTATATATCTTTGATTAAGGACATATTCTCTCAAGGAATTTAGTGATGAGTAGTTTATGTAAATTTTATTTTTGAATTATCAAATGTATTAACTGCAGTTTACAGAATAATAGTGCCACATACTAGCACACCTAATACAATTGCAAAAAAACGTTATTTGCAAATCACTAATATTGAAATTATTAGGAAAGGACAGAAATAATGTAATACTATTTGTATATTCAATAAGAAGAGTATATGTTGTATCATACACATTACTATGGAATACAAAGAAATAAGTAATACTGCCTTATAATATTTTTTTATAGAATTTGAACTTTAATAGAGAATAAATGCAATCTTTTTTATACTTATTTGTTGGCACAATTCGTAATGCATATATTTTGTCTAATTCACTAATAATCTAAAATTAAGAAATATTAGTGAGTTAGTGCTGTAATAGAAAGCTATTTATAGGTAAACACAAACCACTACTTTATAAAATGATTATATACTATACAATACACGAAAACATGTGATGAATAAAACAAATCGAAGACTTTTCTTTTTTCTCTCAAATTCCTTTCTTCATATTAGTCGATTTATTGCACTGTGGAATTATTAATCTTAAACTTTCTTATGGAAATATGACACATTTTGTTTTTAGTCATTNNTCACCAAAAAAGTTTGGAATAGTCGCACTTCTACACCAGGAGAGTGGTTATATCCTTTGTTTTGTCATACTATCTGAATCAGTTGTCTCTATTACAATATGGCGTCCAAGTGCATTTTAGGCATATTTCAAAGTTCAATAAATCATACATAGTAACAGTAACAATTGAATCTCGTATGAATGATTCCAATCAAACCTCAAATCAACTGTCTATTGTAAAAACAAGTATTCCCACACATGGAAATGATCTACTGACCCCTATTCAACTAAAGGACTTCGGTAAATATCCTAAGAATCGTAAATATAGTCTACTTTTCATTATTCTTAGAGTATGATTATGCCAATATACATTATCCAGTTCCATTCAATAAGCTGGTTTCGGATATCTCCAATCGATATGATAATTATGGAGTGAAGATAGAATCAGTTCCATTCGTTCTAACAGGTGATATACCCAAGTTTGAGAAGCAAACATCAGAAGTGTTAATGATGACTGGAGCATCTGACAACCATGCTTTGGGATCGTTCAATTGTCTCTTCTCTATGGTAGTAGCAGATCCGTATGCTTCTTATATGTATATCGATTTGGGATTATCTACAAGATTCAGAAACATTTTGTTTACTCATTTCAATACTATTCATCAAATCCAAAAGAAAATGAACTCGACTGGATTCATTGCATATCGTAAATTCAAATTCAACTCATTTCCAGCATGGATAAAGCTTGCAGGAAACAAACAACAACGAGGCGGATATGCATGGAAGGTAATTCCATTAGGAGATGCCTATTTTGCCTGGAAAGGCATAGTATTTTGGCTAGATGGAGGAAGCTTGATTCGCGAGGGAATAAATCGTGAATTGACAAATGTTCGGATGGATGGAATTTACAGTTTATTATCTTCAGGTAATCAACAGAAATGGACTTATAATGCTACATCAGATTTCTTAGTACGAAATCATTTGATCGATCGTTTTAACCCCAGGGATCCAAATGCATCTGGAGGTCATCTGATCATCGATTGGTCTAACAAAACTGTATTGAATAAGGTAATGATTCCCTATTATCAGTGTGCTTTTACCCAAAAATGTATGTCACCTCGCGGATCCAGTATGAAGAATCATAGACAAGATCAAGCAGTATTGTCTGCTTTATTGAACAATTTGAAAACAGAACGGTCTGTGAAGGCAGATTTTTTTGGCAATACCAGGATTGCGATTAGAGAGTGGAAACGATTTTGAAAAGTGTAATTTACTGTTGGGTAATAACCTAAAAACCTTACAGAATATTTTCCAGATAAATGTGAAAAGCGATTTTATTTCCAAAGAGAAAGTGAGATATTTTTGGGTGAAAACAAAATACTCATCAAGGCATTCTGATGATGAATGGAATCCTGAAGAGTAGTACGTAGATCATAATATTTGCGTGTTATATGGAAAATGAAAACGGGAATGATATTCATAGTTGGAGTGTAAGGTAAAGTAAAGCTATTTTCTCTATGCTTTGTAATAGTGCAATATATAGTGATTCCTGTTTAATTGGTAGCAATGCTTCTATTTACAATAGATATATATATATAAATGTAATAACGCCTGCTTTATATGGCACTTTTCATTTCCATTTTCTCTTTTGAAAGAAAAAATAGATAGCTCATTATTTTTTTGAAATGGATAGAAGTTGTAATCTATTGTCTCTGCTCTGATTTGAGAAATTTGTGGCGGAAACATACATATGATTTTGTGTTAAGTGTAATGAACAATGCTACAAGACAATTATCAGCTGAATATTCATTCTGCATTTCTGTGTACTATGTATGTTCGATAATTAGGCAAATGCCATACATGTTACATATTGATTCTAGAACCAAGTTAGCACATAATATATTTCAAAGAAGTGCTGATAACATAATCCTTTATTAGATATATAGCATCTTTTATACATTTCATTATTAACAGAATAATTATAGAAAACCATTACATGCTTATTTACGAAATTAGCTGTTGAATCACAACAAGTAAATACGACGAAATGCCTGACTTCGTAATATGCATAGTATTATTCGCATTCATCTTCCTTCTAAAAATACGATTGTAATTATATATGTATTAAAATAGGATCGAGCACACTAGTATCTGTTATGTAATCAATACACGTCAAATAATGAAAAACAAAAAATCGAACTCCTTATGATGGTAATCGATAGTTATTTTCATCATTTTTGCGGTTAACATATTAAGGAGTTGACATATCGAATGATCGTTACTAAATAGTGTGATTATATATTAGTTAGTAATTGGAGAAGCCATTGTATCAAGGATTCTTATTTTGGTTCGATAGAATGATTCTTCACTAACTAACGAAAATAATTTATGAGAAGCTATCTATGATCTACTACATGTAAAATGGCAATCATAGTGCATCTAAATAATAATACTATCAACGAAAAAACAAAACAAAAATCCAAAAATACAGCATGATTGCAGGAACAGACAGCTGTAGTATGAACATACTAACTGTAGAGTTCATTCCATCTAAAACACAGTGATTTCCAAACTTTTCCAGTATTGCATATATTGTTTTTATTATTTGCCGGTTGTAATATTATTTGATTATTCATATTCATTATTGAATTTAAAAACGATTTTATAATAACTTGACAGAAGCGAAAATGAATTCCTACTAGCCATAATTACTACAATGCATAAGCAAATTAAAATTCAGTTAGCATCGATATTTTCCGATTCTGTAATAACTTGAAAAAGACTTTAGTGATTCCTGATGATCAGATGTTCTGACTAAAATATGGGCACTCTGTGAACTAACTAACTAATTGCATTTTTTATGACACATATAGAATTATCAATTCTAAACAACCTCTATTATCATAACAACTATAAAACGAAAGAATACACATGTAGTGAATAATAAAAAAATGTGGATAGCTATTCCATATATAGTCCTTAATAGTTTATTCTTTGTCTATCTATCGATATATACATGACGCATAATTCAGAACAAATATTCTCTCGGGTTATTGTTATCATTCACTAATGCCATACAATTCACATCGTTTATAGATAGTAAAATGTATTAAGTCTATTCTCTTCAGTTACTCACTTCTATTTCCAATCACTATACTATAATCTTGACAAATAATATATAAGTCATTTGTAAAATGGATATGTGAAAAATATTTTTTAGCAACCTGTAACATTATCATTTTCACTAATTCAGCTGGACTAGTTTCAAAAACTCGATAGTATTATATTTGATATTAGTTATGCATTTATTGTTATTATTAATCTTGTTATACATTTAACAAATAACACGTTATATTCATTTTTACTTTTGTATGATTCTTGAATATGGCAATGAAGTTTCCTTCAACAGTACTTTTGTATATTACTTTTGCATTCATTTTCCTTATTACTATCAATTTTAAAATATATATGTAAAATAATAATCGGGAATAACAATCTAGAAATGGTCAAGTCTCTATACTATCGAATTTGTTATTTTACCCTCGGCAAGCCTAACGGGGATGCGTTCCTCAGATCGGGGGAACC